GAGTATCACCTCTCTGGAATGGCTTGAGATGTAACTTTGGATGCATGACAAGGTATGGCTGGCCTTGCTGGCTGCGGTCTGGCATTGGCGGCTCATGTTCATCTTGGACTCAATAATGACTCCAAGATCCCTTTCCGCCTCTGTGCTTTCAAGAGGGGAACTCCCCAGCCTGTATGTATGCTGTGGAGTCCTTCTCCCAAGGTGCAGCACCCTGTATTTGTCTATGTTGAACCCCATCCTATTCTCATCTGCCCACTTTTGTAGTCTGTCTAAATCTAGTTGCAGCCTCTCTCTCCCTTCAAGTGCATCCACCTTGCCCCACATCTTAGTGTCATCAGCAAACCTGGACAGCGTGCTTTCCACCCCCTTGTCCATGTCGCTGATGAAGATGTTAAACAGTGCGGGCCCGAGGATTATCACAGTGCCATTGATTTCTTTCAACAAAGTTTATGATTTTCTACATTAAAATCTTCCCATGTAAATAAGTTTAGGAAGTTGACATCAGAAGTTTCTCGTACCATTTTCTGCACATGCAGTTCTGCTTGGTTGCATTTAACAAACTTATTTAGACTATAAGGCAGTTTCCAGAGCTTCCTGTTTATTTAAAACAAATATATTTAACCCTATTTCATATGTATTTTCTCTAGAAAAAACCTAGAAAAGAAGCATGATTCTGTGGGATACTCCCTTATATAAAACAGCTATAAAGTGTTTTATATTTATTATAGATTTTATATTTACAAAAAGACATTTTATAAATGTTAAATGTGCATAAAAACATTAAAACAAGTTTTTAAAAACATTTATCAATGTCTTTTTTTTCTCAGGAATAAATCTCCTAACTAAAGCCCAGCTAACTCTGTGCCTTCAAAGACTTATATTTACAAACAGTATTCAAATAGTTCACAACTGAATTAAGCTCTCTGATTACACTACCCCAATTTTTTTATTGGCTGTCCCCTGGTATGAGGATGATGTCTGCCAGGTGAGTTTTAAGGTGAGTTTTAAGGTGACTGAGGAGTCCAATCCATACTCTGCAAGTTTTTCCAAAGATATGACAAGTGGTGCCTTGGGGGGGAAGGGGTGGGGGCACAGCTGTTGGCCAGGATGTTGTGCACTGTCCTTCCTCCTCTGCTGTTTCTTGGCTTCCTGAGAAAGACGGTTCTCTTTGAAGTGAGCTGTAGCTTGATTTATGGTGCAGCACCATTGAGACCTGTTACCAGCCAGCACTTCCCAATTTGTAGAGTTGATGTCTTATTTAAGAATAAGGTATGCTTTCAGGCTGTTTTTGTAGTGCTTCCTCTGTCCTCCGCAGGTTCTCTTACCATGACTAAGTTAAGAGAAGAAGACGTGCTTCGGGAGATGGGTGTCAGCCATCTGCACACAGTGGCCAGCCCAGTGGAGTTGATGTTTCATGATCTTTGCCTCAATGCTGGTTATGTTAACTGCCAAGAGGATGCTGGCATTGGTACAGTGGTCTTCCCATCTAATGAGGCAACGCTGATGGAACTATTCCAGGTGCTTAAGATGGCTTTGAAATGTCACCCGTGTCTCGCATCTGTAGAGAAACGTAGGGATAACCACTGCATTGGAGACCAGGATCTTAGTTTCCATCTGTAGATCTCGGTCAGCAAATACCTGGTGAAGCAGCTTTCCAAAGGATATACTTTGGAAAGCAAATCCTATGTTTGATTTCTACATCAAGACTGACTGACTGGGAGAGGTGACTGCCAAGAGGTGTCCCCAATTATACCCAACAAGATCCCATATAAAACTGGACAAAGCTGTTCTCTGTTCTCCTGGCCCAAAAGTGATGACCCTGCTATGGTAGGCTCCATCTAGATCAGGGACGGGCAATTATTTTGGGCAGAGGGCTGCTTACTGAGTTTTGGCAAGCCATCAAGGGCCACATGACATGCAGCCAGTGGCAGATAAATGTTTTCTAATTTTTTTAGGGGCCCCACAGGCCAGATAGAATGGGCTGGCGGGGCGCATCTGGCCTGCAGGCCGCATTTTGCTCACCCCTGATCTAGATAGACCCCCACAAATAATTAAGTAGCTGGCAAAAAGAATAGTTCAAACCTTGCCTTGTTCCATGTAGCCCATTGAAACAACAGGTCCATGTGATACCCCCTAACCTGTACTGCAATGACCCTCTGTATGGTAAAATTTACCTCTGTGCAGAAATGAAAAATCTGTGCATGATTCCAATTCTCATCTCCATAGAAGTGGATTTAAAATGTAAGTTAGCATATTGTGGCAGGGTCGTGACAAGTTTGAGTATATTATTTTGAGTCATTGGCAATACAAATGATTTGCTGTGACATGAGAGATCTAAATCTACTGTCCATCATAATCAGGGCACACTCGCATTTTTATTCCTAGGAATGCTACTACCAGAGTAGATTATAAAGTATGTTAACTCCATAAATGGTTATCCATTTGGTTTCATGAGCATTAACCAAATGAAAACAACCCGACAGCCCTTTAAAACTTTAGGTGATAAGATCTACTAACTGGGAAAAACACTGACATAGAAATCTCATCAGACATCTAATAAAGCTTGTGCATCTGGGTGTAAGCAATTGATCTCCCTCAGGACATTCTTTCTATTGTGGTCTTTGGCATTGTGCCCCTAACTGTGACTTAAAAGTTGTGAAATACCATGTTATGTAGATACCAGAAGACGGCATACAAAAACAGATGGGATCTCCTCTGCAGAGAGGGGATGTCTGCCCAAGACCAAGCAGACATATTTTTCATACAAAAATGTACATTTTTCCATAGTATCTATGTGAAATATTAGTCCAGGTGGAAAATACAGAAAAATCCACCAGTAGCTTGGGCTGTGTGACATACCTGTACAAGTAGTGTAGGGAGGAGTGTGGATATTCACTAGTCTTCTATATTTATGGTTCATAAACTCCTTGTGCTTCCACCCCCGGCTTTTTCCAAAGATAATTTATACTGAAAAGACTGTATGAACATTAAGCTTTAATGTATAATTATTAGGTACAGAATAAAAGTTTAAATCCTTAAAAGCACAGTGTCATGAAAATGACCGTGTACTTCTACATATTACCTATAAATTTACTTGCACTTTAGCTTGGTGAGCTCTCCACAAAATCAGGACAATTAGTTACCATCCCAATCAAGAAATTCCAGCTATAAACAATCCTGAAACTGCCTCCCAAAACTTGCTTTTAAATTACCTAGGAGCTTCGTGACAATGCAGATGTCAAAAGGACTATGTGAAAGCTAACAGTAGAGAGAGATAATCCTATAACCTCCCTTACTGCCCAACTGACATTAGGCTGATGTAAGAAAATATTAGGAGGGAAAACAAACAATATAGGAGAAAAAATCTAACAGGCTCTGCCCACATGTCCATTCATCTCCCAAAAAGGTTTCACAATTTATTTATTAGTTTATTCTAATAAATGTCTATTGTATGTGTATCTAAGTGCCTCTCAGTTTTAACATATTTATTTTTATAACAGCTCTGAGAATCAGGGAAGTACTGTTATGCCCATTTTACAGATGGGAAATGGAAAGCTAGATCTTACAAAAGTGCATGAAGCAGAATTTAGGTGTTTAAATTCCACCTATGTTCAAGGTTTTGATCCTGAAAATCCCACTGACATTAGGATGGTTAACAGTATCAGTAAGGAAAAGAAACAATATATGAAATAGGAGAAAAAGAATCTAAGACATTCTGTTCCACAAACCCATTCAGTTCCCAAAGGTGCTGCCATCAAACCCTAGAGATGCCTACACTCACTAGGCACCTTATGGATGGCAAAATGCCTAGAGATTAGCCTTCCCAGATCTGCCCTAGTCTGTGCAGCTCAGTGCTTATCCTCCAGCTAATAAGTGATTGGATTCAGAAACCAGACATTCCTCCACCTAAATTTCCAATCTCAGACATTCTCTGAGCACATCTAAGCCTCACCAACAGGATCAGACTCCAGAGGCAGAGGTAGAGACTCACTGATGATCATGGTAAGTACTATGTACTTACCAAGGTGCTACAAAAGCTATCAGCACAAATATAATCTCTTTACCTCAGATTTTCTAACTAAATGGCAATAGTAACACTACCATTCTTTCCTGCCCTGCCTACTGCTTTACTTTACAGGGCCATTACTGGGTATTAATTCAAGTTTACAAAATGCTTTGTGAAGGTATTACAAGTGCAAAATCATATTATTGAAAGTAAATCAGCTGCTTAAGGCCCTGATGTGGCTGGCACTGAAACACAATCCCAAATGCTATAATGAATATTCTTATATTAAAATATCTCAGCACTTACATGGCTGTCATTACTGTGGCATGTAAATGAATAACCATTAATGATTTTATCACTAAGTGACCATTATCAGATAGGGAAACATTAAACTTATTTTACAAGTGGGAAATTGAGACACAAGGAAGACCAAAATCTCTCTTTGATTTCAATCAGAGGTAGGCACCTAAATACCTTTCAGGTTCTGTACTTGAAAATTATATCCACAAAGGGCCTCAAGCAGGGTAATGTTTAGAAGTGGAGTGCCTAACCCTAAGGGGCTTCTTGCTCAGTGGATTTTGCAATCCCATATTAGGCTCCCAGATTTGTATATAATGCATCCCCATGCCTAAACTCACCAGGCACCTGATGGACTGTAAATGGGCACCTACAAATGGGTTCCTAAAAAGCCAATGTGATCAACAGGAAGCTAGCTGAATTAGCCAGGACAAAATGTCTCAAAAGGAGTTAGGCACTTCAATTTAAGGTGGAGGTAGGTGCTTATCTCTTTTCATGAATCCTTTCCTGGAACTTGATGAGTAAACTAAGACAGCCCTTTCTCACAAAGAGAGCAGCAGAGAGCCCGCTCCATTACACCTATGTTCCTACCATTATACCTGGCATGGATCAAGGACTTGAAACTAGGTCTTTTTCCTGTCACAAGATTGCCCTGATCCTAGAAGGTTCAATCTTCCCTGTTGAAGGTGTTTCACCTTATAAATCTTATAAATAAGGACATATAGCCGTATCCCTCCCACACACAGAATCAGAAAACGTTGACATTTATTGCCTTTTCTGTCTGCTTAGCAAGGATGCCATTTGTTTTCTGCTGTTAATAGTGCTTGCAAACATGTTTTCTCATTTTCATCTCAGCATGTTGCCCTTTATGACCACTGTGTTTCCTGGTGCAAACACTATTCCAATTCTAAGTGGGATTTTGGGACTGTTTTTCTTTGAGTTACTGCCTATTTTCCTCTGAGACTCTCTTGTAACATAAAATTAATTTGCAATTATAAAATGAACTACATTTTTAGGGCCAGACATGATTTTCTTGGCACAGGACCCAGGCTAGGGAGGGGAAAGGTGACTGAGCAGCCATGCATGCAACATAGCCACATTAGAGTAGAGTAGCCCACATTTTCTCTTTTTCTCCAATGCAAATAACATCAAAAGATTTAGGATCTATTTCACTGGCTTCTCATTAATGCAATGGAGTTGTTAAAAACTGGTTACTGTGGTTTCTTTCTTCCCCAGAAGGGTTTCTGCAAACACTTAGCAGCTACAGTTTCAGCTGTACTAATTAGTGGTCTCTTTTTCCCATTTGCTTGTTTAAATTCTCTGCCTTAATACCTATGCATAGTCAACAAACAGATTAGGAAAGTCCTAATTTGATTAGAGGATTAATTTAACAGAATTTCACATCTAGGGAAAATTGAATATATTTGTGCCTGAAATTTGAAAAATAATATAAGGTGTGAAGAAAAAGCCCATTACATTTACATCCCTTCATCCTAATCACTTCCTTGCATTAGGATAACAACTCTATTGAATTTCAAGGTACAATCTAA